GTCAGCTACTAAGGCATAGGGCGTGCGATTATTCTTGTCTTCCAGTGGCGCCATCTATGGCCGAGAATTCGACTTCCATCACACCTGTTTATAGGGCGAACCCATTCATTCATTTATCCCCAGACCGTTATTTTGACTTGCACCAGAGAACGATTGAACTCCAATTCAGTGCTCCGAGAGGTATAACTTGTTATGGGAACACGGAAGACTTAATGACGTGACATATTTAGCGTGTACCAGTCACCATTTACTACATGGGGAGTCATCGTCCGACTGGATTCAAACTCCCGTGCTCCTGAGCGAGAGTCCAGCGCCCTACCAACCAGGCTATCACGGCCGTTTCAAAGATATATGAAAAGCTACCTTGATGCAGAATTTTTATTGAACATATTTTTAATACTTTTTTTCATTATTTTGTTTAAATTTAGGTCAAAATAAGTAAAAAAATATTATATTTAGCATTTTAATAATTTATGTTATGTTAATAATTATGTTGGGTATAATTATTTGCGAAGGTAAAATTTTTTCAAACAATAATTTTTCAAATTTGCACTTATTTACAGTTATTTAGAGCGAAACAGTAATTCATCTTTGAAATTTCCTTAATTTACAAAGTCAATTATTGATAAATTTTTGAATATGAATGAAAAAAAAATTTAATTACTCTTTTGGATTTTACATTTTAATACAAATACAATCCGATAATCTAACTGATTTTTTTCAACATTTATTCGACTGTTTTTCATAATTAAAAAATTCCAAAATATATTTTTGTTTGTAATTTGAAAGTCATAAAAGTATACAAAAGGGACACCGGTGTCCAAAAGGTTAAACACTGCATTGTTTCCTCACATAAAAATATGCAAGAATTAAATATTTATTAGTTTTATAGATTTTCATACAGGCAAAATTTGTCATATGATAAATCTAAGACATCTTTACACTGTAAAAAATTTTGGCGTATAGTTGTTACCATTTTTGGTGTTGAGATAAATTATATACATTTAAACTTACTTCACATGTAAACTGTAGTTATCTGTATACTGTAATCAAATGATATAAAATGACAAAATTACAATTGCTTGAAAGATTTAGTGCAAATATATTACTGAAACTGTGCTTGTTCTTTAACGAAATGTTTTTTGCAATGAAGCCATTAAACTGATTCTAATTGTGCCTAAAAATATATGATGTCAGTAAAAAAAACTTAATAAATAAATAAATAATGAAAGAACAGTGAAAAAGCAAATAAAAGATGTGAGTATATGCACTAAAAAGTTTTTTGTCTAGCTCAACGTAGAAATTGTGGCATCTAACCACCGATTTTTACAGTGTACATTTATAAATCACCCAAATTGTGGCATGTAGAATTTATTTGATCACATTATGAGCACACAGATTTTCAAACAGAATTTTAAAACTTCATTAATTTTTTTTAATAAAAATTATTAAAAATTAAAACGTTTTGCCAAATTTTTTTGAACCCCCAAACTAAAAGGAAATTTCAGAGATTGTCTTTAAAAAAGGTAACTTAACCCCCAAAACTTCAGGCACAACGTAAAAATTAATTTTATAAATACTAGTTTACGCTTTTTAGCGCGACTCTCATTACAGCGTACATTCCATTTAACGACCAATGTTTAAGCTACTTCATAGACACTTATTACTTTTTATTAGAAGGTTCACGGGGAATCATTTAATTCGATATAGCAACAGAAATATAATTATTTGGTTTATTAAAAATTATTTGGACCATTATATCCTTGGATGTTATTACTCAATAAAAGGAAAACGTCATGAATCTCATTTGAATGACGGAAGAGTGACATAATCCCCTAAATTCTTATACTTACTCAATAAAAGAAAAACGTCATGAATCTCATTTGAATGAAGGAAGAGTGACATAATCCCCTAAATTCTTATACTTACTCAATAAAAGGAAAACGTCATGAATCTCATTTGAAAGAAGGAAGAGTGACATAATCCCCTAGATTCTTATCTTACTCAATAAAAGGAAAACGTCATGAATCTCATTTGAATGAAGGAAGAGTGACATAATCCCTAAATTCTTATACTAAGTCCTTATAAGTCATTTAATAAGTTCATTCATCTGTGTAACTTTATTTTCAAAGAATACAATAAATTTTAGCAAATTTGATATTGTTTTTAACTTATTAGTATAATATTACACTTATTTTCTTTATAATATTATTACATAATGTTTCTGAAAATAGATAAAGACATTTTTGTGTGACGACAGTTTTGTCTTTAACCTCCATAAAATCAAAGCGTTGATTAAATCTAAAGAATGTTAAAGAAATGCTTCGTCCTGCGGTATCAACTATTTTGCCAAAATTTGATAATATAATTAAAAATGAGCATGCTGCTCCAATTGATACATAAACCTTGCACCTGCGCTGTTAGAAGTAAGTGGGTTTTCTATGTAGTGACCTTTCAAGAGGTTACACATAATGGACAATGGATAGACTATAGTAATGTTTGAATTGACCAAAGTAATTGAAATTATTTTTATTATTGTGTTACGTTCTTATGTTTTATTTTATATACGTCGTTGAACAGCCGACCCAATTTTGAGTTTACGACTACTAATGTTCAATTCCGTAGCCTTGTAATTCTGAACCCAATCCAGAAGACAAGAGAACTCCTGGATCGAGAATTGGGAGAAATTTGCCTTCGTGGAGGACTTTTTGATGGAGCTAACCCACATTTGCGTTACATGAAAAGGAAAACCATGAAAACCTCCCACGATTACTTTGTTGGCTAGGGGACTCTAACCCATTATCCGTCTACCACTGAGGATATTTCACGTCAGCACTGTGGTCGGTGCAAGCCGCATGCGGAATTAGTATCGACAGGGATTCGAACCTGGTTCGCCTCATTGGAAGGCGAAAGCTCTATCCCCTGAGCGATCGCGGCTCACGTTCTTATGTTTGTTATTTATTTAAAATTTTCGCATTGTTCTATGTTTTAAAACAAAAATTAAAGTTAATGACCTAAAACTGACCGACAGCTTCATTCTCATGTGTGTCGGATATGCGCGATTATTATGGAGTTCCACAAAATTTCCTTAACTTTTTTCAGGGCCCCCTTACCAAAAGGTTTAAAAAGCCTTGTTTTAGAGAAGGAAGAAAAAAAAACATATCATGGAATATTTCGAGCATTTTTTACGTTTGAAACATTAATGTTACAAATTATTAATAGCTGTATTTTTGGTTAAGCAAATTAGAGTCTTGTTTCATTAAAAAAAATTAAAATTAAATTAATTTTTACTTGAAATTTCGCATAATTCATAAACTGTTGTTGAAAAAAAATATTTCTAAAAAAACTGTTTTAATATTTCTTACTTCCTTTTAGAAATTGTTGGCTAATTTTCAATATTAAGCATTTTGCTTTCAATAAATTCGGAAATACTAAAGTGATTTTCGAGTTATAGGTTGTCATACAATAATTACGTTTAAAATCTGAAAGCCTTATACATACGTTTTATTCTTAATTGAAACAGGAACCTATGGTATAACAGTACCTGAGTGTTAAATATTTATTATGAGCAACCTAATATTGAATTAATTTTTGAATTGAATTTTAATTAGGGGTGCTAAATTTTCGATTCATAAATAGCATATTAATGTAGTATTAAGAATTATCAAAATGCGTCTGTTACATAAAAACGGCTAAAAAAAATTATATAATTATAAGTTGTAACTTTTAATGCATATGAGGCTTTTAGGAATATATTATGAATTAAAAGTAAATAATATTTCCGTAATGTGTAATTATAATATCTGAAATACTATTTAATGTAGTTTTATCTGTAGAGAATGGTATAAGAATGCATTTGTTGTAATAAAACAGTTTCCAAAAAAAAAAAAAGACCTGTTACAATTGGTAAGTTTTATGTTTTTGCGAAAATATTAAAAATTAAGTGTAAATAATATTTTAATACTGAATAATTATAATGCATGCAATGCGGTAAATACTAATTTAAAAACTTCTATTCACTAATGAAAAAGAATCATTTTTTAAACGAAGTCAACGCAAGATGATCAAATTTGAAATTATTTTACAAGCGGCAAAACATTTTTCTTTTTTTCATGAATTGTATCCGATGCAATTATTAAAAAAATTTTCCACCTTAAACAACGAATCACTGTAACAATCAAGTAATGCATGAGTTTTTTATTTTATGTAAAAACTGTTTAAAAATTTTTTTTACACAGATTTTATCTGAACCATGTATCTTGTATCTGAAGTTTTAAGTCAAATTATATGAATCTATCAATAAATATTATTTTATTATTACATAAAATATTTTAAGTGTTATTGTAAAGGCTTCAATTATAAATAAAGAGTAACAACGTTTTAAACAAAGCTGATGCAAAATAATCGAATTTGAAATCATTATGAAAGAGGCGAAAGATTTTTCTTCTTCATAAATTGCATCAGATACAATTATTAAAAATAAAAAAAAAATTCTCCCTAAACACCGAATAACTGTAACAATCAAGTAATGCATTTGAATTTTTTTCTTAAATGTAAAAACAGTTCAAAAAAATTATTTACACATGTTGCAACTTGTAATGTGTCCGAAGTTTTCTGGAAAATGTTATGGATCTATCAATAAATATTATTTTATTATTCTATGAAATATTATAAGCTTTATTGTATAGGCTTCAATTATAAGTAAAAAGTTATAATATCTTAAACGAAACTGACGCAAAATATTATTTTATGGAATATTATAAATTTTATTTTAAAGTCCTCAATTAATAAATAAATAGTTATAATAATTTAACCACAGCTGAAGTAAGATAATCAAATTTGTAATTATTTTGAAAGAGATGAAACCTTTTTCATTTTCATAAATTACATCAGATGCAATTATTAAAGCAATTTTTTCTCTCCCTAAACAACGTATAACTGTCACTGTTGAGGGCTTTTTTTTAAATGTAAAAACAGTTTAAAAAATTATTTACACAGGTACTTGTACTGTATCTGAAGTTTTCAGGAAAATGTTATGGATTAGCAATAAATATTATATTATATTTAAGAAGCATTAGAAAAACTATATTTTAAAGGTCTCTATTTATAAATTATAAGTAATATTAATTTAAATAAAGCTGATGTAAGAAAATCGAGCTTGAAATCATTTGAAAAGAGGCGAAACATTTTTTCATAAATTGCATCAGATGCATAAGAAATGTAATTTATTTTCGTTTTCCCCGGGCAATTCTCGTGATCGCATCTAAAAAGGAACTGCCACTCCATAAAAAACCACTTCATCTTCTTGAACGTCTTGGCAATTCAATTTTCTTCACATGCGTTCTATAAAAAAAGAACTTCCTCTCTCATTATTATAACCGCTTGTAACCCTCATAGGTCGAAAAAACAACCAATAGAAAACGCCCTGACAGCACGTGAACACCTCGTGAAGGCACGGGATTTAAAAACCCAAAACAATCAGCTCTACAATTCTATATCTCACTTTTCTTCTGAACTACTATCGCAGTTGAGCAATTAATCGGGGAAGCGATTTCATATTTATGGCCATCTTCAACTTGCTACGATTTGCAAATAAATATACCACATATAGAAGGCCCAAGGACCCAGCTGACCAGATACGCGAAGAAAATTCTATAGACGATATATTTTAACCTTTTTTCTTGGATATTAGTTAATGTACTTGAGATTTTTATTGATGAAAATGAAATTTGCGATTTCATTGCTCGTTATTACCCTTCTGGTACCAGTGGAAATCTACGGAAGCTTCGATTTTGAATGTCCGCCAGCGGATCTAATTTATCCGTGCACGTGCACTGCTTTTCCGAAGAGCGAAGTTGTATGCAATGATGTTAAAAGTTTGGATACAGTTCGTAATGCTCTGGTGCACCGTTTCAAGACCCCCTTGCCATGTTTACGGGTTAGCAACGTGCATGAATACCAACTACCTCATCATGCTTTTAACAACATCACGACCAAGAAATTGTATTTGAAAGGAAGCAGTTTCAGGAATATCGATGATAATGCGTTCGACGGACAGAACTCACTTGGGCTGTTGGTTTTATCTGACGATCGTCTGACAGAGTTCCCATCTGCAGCTATAAAACACTTATCAGGATTGCGCACCTTGAGTGTAGCTGAAAACTTCATCATGAAAATTTATGAAGATTCGGTAAGATATTTACATAATTTGAAATATTTATATCTCCCGAACAATCGACTCTCGTCGATAGAACAAAATTCCTTTCCCAGATCTTTAGTCGGTTTAGTTCTTTCCAAAAATCTCTTGACGTCATTGAATGGAAGTGTGGAAAATTTACCGAATCTGGATGTACTCTTATTATCGAACAATAGACTGGTAGATGTAAATAAACAGTTTGATGGACTTTATCAGCTGACGCACTTAAATCTGGACATGAATAACATTCACGATATATCGGACAATTTCAATGATTTAAAATCCCTTCGATATCTCAACTTGGCTTACAATAACCTAGAAAAAATTGAGGATGGCTTATATCCCCTGACAAAGCTTCGTAAATTAAATGTATCTTACAATTACATCACAGAAATAAATGAAGATCTTTTCAAGGAACTCAACAGCATCGAAATTCTAGATCTTTCTGGAAATTTCATTGAGAATGTGTGCCAAGCCATAGCCCCTTTGAAAAACCTCGAAGAACTCTATTTGTCTAATACCAATCTTAAGAATTTGGACTATGATTGTTTCCAGGGTATGAAAAATCTTCGCGTTTTAGATCTCTCGCATAACGAACTGACTAACATCGATGCAGTCACTGGACATTCTTTCCCGAATTTAAGACAGCTGTACCTGCAAAACAACAAGTTGCAGAATTTCCGCCATGGTCTGAAAAACATCAAATATCTTGAAGTACTGAACATTGAAAACAACGAATTCAGCAATATCAAGAAACATCGATTTATGCACAATGTGAAGTTGGGAATGGTTAGAATCGGAGGTGAGCAATTTTTCATTAATATCTTCTATCCATAATTTTTAAATCGTCAAAAATTTATTTTAATTATCTTTTTTTGTTCCGCAATCTATCTACTCATTGCTTCAAAAGCGTTCTTTTAAAAATTATCAAAATAAAATATTTTTAATCTTTCTCATACTAATTTTATTAAAAAAAAAAAACTAATTGGAAATGTTTCTAGCATGAATACAAGCCAAATATTTATGAACTTAAAAACAATATGTATATACATAATTTTTTTACAAAAAAAAAGACGTAAAAAATTACGTATTACTGATCAGTTACATTTTTCCATCATATGAATGAACTATTTTAATTATATTACATTGCTTAGAATAAAATGGGACTTCAATGAAACTACGTAAAAGACGTATAAATGAGAAACGTAAAAACAGTGTTTTACTGTATTGAAAACTTTTTATGTGAATTTTTATTTTATTTGCTTATATTTATTCTAGCAGTTGAAAGATTGATTAACAGATAAAATAGTTTTAAATAGTTTAAAAGTTAGTACATTACTATAAAAGTCCTGCACACTTAATAAAAATTAAATATTGGTTATCTGAATGTATTTCATCCGAATTATTAACCTAAGTCGATTCCGAAGTGAAATTTTAATCAAATAGGACAATAGTTTATTTATAATTATTTTTCGACCGAAATCACGAATGAATTGAAAATAAAAATAATTTTAAAATCTTTGGCTTTTATAATTAAAGAATTAAAATTTTGAAGGGGGATTAACACTTTTATCGCGGTAATGGCACGTCTTCATCCTTCTCTCTGGGATAAGATTTTCTGCTAAAATTGAAAGACGAAAAAATATGGACTGAAATGCGCTAAAATGTCAATAAATAAGTCGCTGTACTGTACACACTGCAATAATATTGAAAAAACTTTATGCAGGGTACAAGTGATCTCGTCCATAGCACACAGCGAATATTCCTCGAAAACGAGTTAAGTCGTCCGTAGCGATGAAAGAGTTAAAGAACAAGTTGGTAGAAAACGATTAAATTCATCCTAGGAATAATAGACATGGTCAATTCAGAAATCTGAATAGATTAAATATATGAATTAAATGCAAAAACGGTATTACAAAGTACCAGGGCTGGTATGATTTAAATTACCTAGATTTTTTCCCTGAAATCTCTGATTTTTATATTTTTTAATATATTTATACACATACTCCTAAAGAGTATATTTATAATTTATTACTTCTTATGTTTTTAAAAGTTGGATTTTATTGGTATTGAAAGGTTTGCTTTGAAAAATAATGAAAGTAAAATGTATGTAAATTGTTATTTAATTTTCAAAATAAACAAATTAAGAAAAAACTACCAAGTTTGGATAAAAATTACATGAAGCATCTAAACATTATAATTTTTCTTCAACTGTACGTAAAATAATTCAATTTTATAAAAAATATTTTAAGTGTATATGAACAATAAATAAATACTTATTATGCAAAAGATAATTTAGAATAATTGTATTGTATTTATATATACACATATATATATATTACGCTTCCTGATCTAAATCTTTCATTCTTTATATATCTAATGACAAATTGTGTCTTTGTCTTTATAAATTCATAACGATGTTTAGTGCTGAACTTGAAAAAAAAAACTTTGATTTTAATATTTTAGCGATTAATACGTAACAATTATGTACAAAATAATTTAAAACGTTTTAGATAAAAAGAGTTTCAGTTGCATTGTTATTAAGTGATATTGAGTATTGTTAATAAATTTTATCTGAATTTTGATTAGGAAATATAAATAATAAAAAATACTTTTTTTTAAAAAGAAAATCATAATATTTGCTAACCCTGCCAAATACATGTGTTATACTCACGCATATAACATGTGTTATAAAAATAGTTATATCTCTAATGTATTGTATAAGCCATATTCGTTTCCTAGTGAAGAAACAATTTACACGAATTACAAGTATCGAATACATTACGAATTACCTAAACGAATTACGAGTATATTCTAGTTCAGAACTTTAATCTTTAAAATGAAAAACTTATTCTTAAAATGAATTTAATTATCTTTATAATGAAAATTCTAACTACAAAATCAATAAAATCATCAAGCATTTTGTGAAACTAAGCTAATTATTTGTTACCTCACAATAACTGTTTTTTTATGCACATTTTTAAGATAAAATAAAAGTAATAAAATTCAGTGCCGGAAAAAGGGGCGTGGGTCACTTAGAGCTTTGCAAATACTAAATTATCCATAATTGACCATGCTTTTATTAATAAAAAATTGGAAAATGGGAAGAAGAAAAAATTTCACTAAACAGCAAATGAGTTTTCTCTAAATCAGAAATTTTTTTTATAGCATTCCCAAATACAGGACCCGGGTTAAAGAATCCGGATTAAGGCGAATTTTAGATCCTCAAAAGTCAAAACTATGCGTAGTCTTTTCACTGATTCAGAGTAGGTCGACAAACCTGTCTAATTCTCGTGCTAGGTTACGACAAAGTCAGAAAACACAAAACATTTAGCGAATACAAAAAAAATTTACTTCAAAATAAATTATTTTCATTATTATAATTTAATAACCATGAATTACTTTTTTTTGCTAAGTAGTTCCTGAATGCTAATCAAAAACTTTAATTGCATGAAATTTTTATAAAATAATTTAAGAAAAGAATTAAAAAAACAAAAGGAATGAAACATTTGTAGAATAAATGAGCAAATAGGAATAAATTGTTGTAAAATAAATTTAAAATTCAAAGAAAAATATAAAATACTCAAATAAAGACGGAGAAAAAAAAGTAGCTTTCCTGTCACACTGACCTTGAATCGAAGTTTCACTTTCATTATTTATCACATAATCATCCTGATAATTGAATAAATATAAGTTCCTCATTTATCATTTCCTCTTATCAATTACATTAGAAACGAACTAGATAAGAAAGGAAACGAGTTAATCCCAGATTTTAAATTAAACTATAAAAATTCATTATTTTATTTAAAGTTATTAATTATATTTTATTATCGAAACTTTAACAAAGTCATTAATAGCCACATTATTAAGATCATAGACATTTATTAATTTTTTAAAGATGCATAATTTCATTTGAAATAGATTTTTTTTACACGTTACTTCAGTAATTAATTAAATTCAAAGATCTTTAAAAATACAATATTTAGTTAAATTTGTCTAAAATTATTATTATGTTTTAATATAAAAACTGTAACAATGAACTTAAAAAAATAACAATTATTAAATTCGTAGTCATTTGTTACATTTTTACAAATCCATCATTTCATTAAAAATTGTTAAATACTTTTTATGAAAACTAGATTAATAGACTAAATGCATTTTAATGAAATTTATAGATTTTAATCACATTTTTACAAATTCACAATTTTATTTAAATTATGGAACAAATTTTGATGCCAGATCCTTAAAAATGAAATTAATACTTGCATTGTAATAGATTTCAAATATTAAATTCGAACTATGATATAGATTTTTTTAAAATAAAAAATAAGGATGATTTCATTTACTTATTAACATATTTTTAGAATTACTTATTAATCTCTATAATAAAATTAAACCCCTACTTCAAAATTTTTACCATCTTTTTTCGGACGCAACTAATTTCCAGAATAGACTTATTAGTATAATTCGAGGGTGGAAAAAATGTTTCACTTTTAAAGAGTTTAATCTTATACGAATACAATAAGTATGAATGTAACTTTTTTCAAACAAATTAATAGTTACAGTTTAGCTTGTATTTAATTTCTGTGGGAAAAGCCTTTTTTTTTTCCAGTTACTTGGAAAATTAAAATAAATGAATGATCATTACATAGCGAAAAACATTTTAATCACTTTATTGTGAAAAATGTACAAAAATACTAGTAAATGTCTTCGTATTTTTCTCTTTTTAAAATTTTAATTGATAATTGCCATTGAAAAGCCCACCAAATTCTGAGTTGACGAATATCAATGACCATCGCCATAGGTTTCTAATTTTGCACCCAACCCAGAAGACGAGGGAACTCCTGGGTGAAGCATTAAAACAAACTAGACGGTGACAAGGGGGCCCAAACCTATGATCCGTCAACCACTGAGGATATTTTACATCAGCATTGTGATCGGTGAGGGAGCAGAGTTCGTATCAACCTGCTACCTCTGGTATTCGAACCTCCATCCCCTGAGCCACCGCGGCACTCTTACTTCTCATTAAGAGATTTTTTCATTCTTTTTTTTTTATCTTCAGAACTCCTTTGAGTTATTTGTCAAAATGTAGTTTTAGGCCCTTAACTTAAGAATATGCTTATTTATTTATTTTATGTCAGCCTAATGTACCATTCTTCGAAATTAATTTATGCATTTTAGGAATAGGTGAAAAATTTTATATTCACCTTAAGAACTTTCAGGTTAAATAAGGATAATTTGTGTTGATATCGCACGGACCATTGTATTTTGACATTGAACATAGTATCCTTTTAATCGAAGTTAAGAATCTAACGGCCCACCGAATCCGCAATAACTTAATTTAATGAAGCTACCGTATATTGCTGCAAGGAGGTTTATTTATTATTTTTTTTAACCGTCGTTGAACAGTTGACCCAATTTTTGGGTTTACGACTACTAATATTCAACTACGTAGCCATGTAATTTTAAACCCAATCCAGAAGACAAGGGAACTCAACAAGGACCAAGTAAAATTTGCCTTCGTGGAGGACTTTTTTGATGGAACTAGCCCGCATTTGCGTTGCATGGAGAGGAAGATCACGAGAACCTCCCACGGTTAGCCTGACGGCAAGGGGACTCTAACCCAAGATCCGTCTACCATTGAGAATATTTTTCGTCAGCACTGTGGTCAGTGCAAGCCGGATGCGGAATACGTATTAACCAGCCATCACTGGGATTCGAACCCGGTTCACCTCATTGGAAGGGAAACACTTTATCCTCGGACTATCGCGGCTGGAGGAGGTTTATTAAAAATACGTAACTAGTTAAATATATTTATCATTTGCTTTTTCAAAATACTTAGAAAATTTAATGAAGTCTACAATGATAATGTAGTCTACAAAAATACTTCTTTTATAGTTTTTAAATCAGCAACGCCATCTAATCTCCAACTTTGTAAACTAATTTTGAAAGAATAAATTTCTAGTCTCCTGAACAGAACTTCATTTTGGTTGATTATTCAAACTATCGATGATTTTTAACATACACTTTATATTGTTAATTTAAAATAACATATTATTCACAGTTTGTTTTGTTTTTCACTTTATATTGTTAATTTAAAATAACGTAATATTCACAGTTTGTTTTGTTTTTCACTTTACATTGTTAATTTAAAATTATGTATTTATTCACAGTTTGTTTTATTTTTGAATTTCTCGCAGGTAATCCGTGGGATTGTACAGACCAGTTTCTTGACGTACTGAAAGATCTTGAGACACGGAATACGAAAATAGTTGGTGCACCCGACTGCTATCTCACTGAGAATTTAATCTGACCTTTGAATTTCACCTAAAAATCACTGTTAAATACATTACAATCCTGTGACTTTCATAACTTGTGGGCAAATAGTTTGATGTACACAAAGTGCAAAGGATAAAAAAAAAAAAAAAAATATTCTACTTAGTACTTTGGAGCCTCATTTCATTGACCAAATCTCGCCAAGTATTTTTGTTTGTTTTGAAAATGAATGGGATGTTATCACGTTAAAATCTATCTTATCTTAAACCAGAAGAAAGATAAGATATTTAATAGTAAAACATCTTTGTTTACTTGAACATGTTATCATAATTAAGTAACACTGTTCTTTAATTGGGAAGAGTTTCGAATGTTGGCGAGTCATTTCTTATCATTAAAAATCATATTTTTTGAGGATTAATTCTCAAAAATACAAAAAAAAAAAAAACATTATTATTTTTAAATCGGCAATATTTAAACCTTAAAAAAATATTTAAACAATTATTTTACCTTTTTTTATTAATTTTGGCAACAAGGAAGGCATTTTGGCGCAAATGCCTTTTATTTCCCTTCGACTAAACGCACCTTTCTAAACGAAAACCTTTTTTTCGTAATAAATTTATTGTCACTTTAATAATTCGGAAAACAATTGAATGGCAGTGATTTTCGTAATTGATGGTGTCATAATACGAATAAATTTAAATCGTGTTCGATATAAAAATATAAAACACATTTTATTTTTAACTTCTACTTCTGTTACAATTTCTTTAACTGTAAGGGAAGAAAAAGGCATACATATACTTCCTATAAATTTGCATTAGGATGCGCAGAGGTAATGCGCGCAAGCTAATGCGAAAGTATGGGAATCTGCTTCTCATTTGTCTCTAACTTACAGCTTGCCTTCTCCGTGTATGGCCTGCGTAATGCTGGCTGCAGCTCTATTCAAATTTAGTGAATTACTAAAGTGCAGTGTGTCGAAATAAGTAAATTTGCATATTATTAAGCCAGAAAGCTACTTTTTTTTTCGAAATCATTTTAGCCTATTTATTAAAATATGTTGCAGTATTTCTTATAATAAAACTAAATTGAATTGAATTTTTGAGGAAAATTCAAATCAAGATATGAAAGCTGAAGAAAAGAAAGGTCTACAAGAAATAATATATTTTGTGTTGTTATAATTAAAAATAATTTTTATTATTCGAAAAAAAAAGTAATTCATTGTCAAAAATGACTTCTTAATGCATCTTATAACTTTTACATCAACATTTCTCATTCATTTTTATCGTTTCAAAATGTTGTCAACTTTTATCAGTGTGAAGTATAGCGGTAGTGTTGCTGTTTTCTTGTTTTTTACAATGGTTGGTTATTAAAACATAGAAATTTATAATTAAAATATTATTAAAAACTGCTGTAACGAGTATTCATTTCAATATTTTTTTATTACAATACGCTATGAAAATTTCTCGATGTTTGGTGATAAATTAATAATCATGTTGAAAAAGTATTACATTGTAAAATAGTTTGATAACACTTATAAAACAAAGAAATAGATTGTATCATAAATATTAGAAAATATATAAATACAGAACATTATATAAAAATAAAGTTAATTTTATCATTATTATCAATATTTAACTACTCAGTATTATTATCATGCATACATATATCAGCATTACTATCAAGATTAACTAATACTTAACTATATCCAGAATACACAATGCAACTTTTGGTCTGTTGTTGTCGTTATGAACTTTTCACTAGATGAACGGTAAAAAGTAAAAATTTCATGTGCATAAATTTTTTTAAAAATATTATGCAGAAGTTTGGCTAATAAAGATTAGTTAAAAATGTTTTAAAATTCAGTAAAATGTAACCACATTAAAGTAAGGTTTTTCTAATTTCCTTTGAATTTGGTATTTCATGAATGTAGCAGAGCAGCAAGTATTGCACCAAGAACTTATACTTTTTAACCAACTTAGGTGACAAAAGGGGCATCAAATATATACAGGGTTATTCATAATTCCCTCCGGGGTTTCGAAGCGTTATAGTAAAAAAACAAAGACGAATATGGCAAAAAAGAACATATCACATTATTCCGAAAGTATTCAAGTTTTAATTTAAGCAGTTGCCGTTAGATGGCAGTAGCATGTACCACTGAAGCCAGTTGTAGTAAACATAAGGTAACAGAGAGGGAATTATGAATAACCCTGTATATTTAAACCAATATTCTTGAAAAAAATAGCATCGGTCTAATCAAAATTTAGATCGATTTTCAAGACTTTGAAAGCTCTTTGTCATTTTAAAATGCACAGATTTTTTTTTTTTCGTAGTTTAAATACAGTTTGCACTTTTAAATAACAGAAGTAAAAAAAATTACTGCGTATAAAAAATTACTATTAAATGAAAATTGACCAAAAAGAAATGGAGGAACAGTATTGGCAAGACCACGATTTTATCAGACAATGTTTTACTGCACGATTGAAGTAGGAGGAATGGTCACCAAGGTTGCTTTGAACGCTGTCAGCAACGCTTCTCAAGTGGGGATAAGATATTAGCAGCGCAGTTTACTGGGTTTTAGAAAACCATTAGCTCAATAACAATTATTTTCTGTAACACATAACTTCGCATTATTAACGGCATACAGTGCAGATAGAAGATAATAAAAAAGGAGCAAGCTAATTTAGCTAACGGTAAAACCACTAGAAAAATACAATTAGTAAAAGAAAAAAAATTATTAAAGATTTGAGTTTATACAATACTCTGATAGCCAATTGGTATGACTTTTTTAATATGCATAGTTTTGAGTTATCCATAATGTTATTATTCTTTGGACTTAATTTATTAATTAATAAATTTATTTAGTAATTTATTGCACACTTTGAAATTAACTCATGTTGGTCTCTGGATTTTAAATCCCATTTAATAAAATAAAGAAATAACTGTGAACCATTATTAAAATTTTCTATTCTATTTTTAATTAGATTATTAAGCTGGAATATTAAGGCAAACTTATAAGAGAATTTTAATAAAATTTTGCTTTAAAAAATGGTATAAATTTTAATTAATCTCGAACTAAGGTAAAATAGAATTTTTCCGTCAAAAAGATAATTATTCACTGGTTTTAAAAATAAAGTTACATAAATAGTTAAGTCTATCACTGATACTGTGATACCGCATATCTATAAAATTGAAATGATTTTTTGTTTTTTTAAATTCTAGAATTAGGAATCAGTGTGAAATTTATCATTTGCAGATTTAGGAGCTACAGTAAAAAAAAATATATATATATATAAATTTTAACAAGGTATCTGAGTCAAGCGTGAACTCTTGATTATTACCCCCTCCCTCAAGTCCTAAGCCAGATTCAGAACTTCTGCCGCCATCTATCGACAGATTAGAAAACTTCATCTAAATAAATAAATAAATTGCTGACCCTGTTGTTATTAAGTATGAGTGGATGTAAAATACGGTTCGAAATATTTTTAAATGCATACACAAGACATTAATTGTAAAGTCATGCCAATTCTATAAGTCGAAGTATTAACCTATTTTTTTTTATTGTTCAACTAATTATTTTATTCTTTTTTATTACCGCCTATTAAATGATTTAAAATTACTGCGTTTCAACTCTAAATGTTGAAAACGGCCCAACTACTGCTATTGTTTATATAAAATAAAAAGAAATTATAAACTGTTTATTATAGTCTTGTGCAAATTAAATAAAAACAAAATCCTTGTTTTAACAAATTTTATTTACATGATGTATATACACTAATTTGTGAAGGTCCTTACATAAGGTCAAAATCATCCAGCTAAAAATAGAAGAAAAAAAATACATATTAGAAAAACATATGTAACTATTACATGTTTTGAAGTCACATTTTCAAATGTTTCAAGAGAGCATTTTTTAGGATTGTTTTTAGTGAAAAACAACACTTGGCAAAAATGTTTAGGTGTATTATGATGTTATCCTGTGGAAATTCAGGAAACTTACTTATCTACTTGATATATTAAGTTACAGTTTGATGTTTAAAAAAAAATTTCTATTGAAAAAAAATGTGGCTTAACATTAACGCTTCAATTATATTAGTTATAATTATAGGAATGATTCAAAAGCCACAGAAGACTTAAATCAAATTTTACACTTAAATTAAAGAGGTAAATATTTAATATTTGTTAAAAATACACCTAATAATATGTGTTAAAAATTTAAACTGCGTCAAAAAATTACTTGGTTTACATGACGGCATAATTTCCTCTTTAAAGACTTAACGAGCTTCTAGTACGTAAACTCAAAATGAGAGTTCGTTTAATACTTTAAGTTTTACTGAATTAATTCAAATCTTTAGCAGCATGTAAATGTATAATCATGTAGTTTTTGTTACACTAAAGACATTTTTTTTTTTGAAAAAAGAAAGAGAGAAAGTAAGTGAACGAAAACTATTTTGAAAATCGGAGTTCATCAAACAGTAATAAAAATCGATAAACATAATCCATACAATCATGTGAGCAACGGAAGCTAAGTATTAACAATAAAATAAAAAACTTACCTCTAATGTACAGGGGGGCAAAATAAATAACGGACCACCCTAAATAACTTTTGAACTAATGATTGGATCTTCACGTTCTAGGGCTTTTATCTTATTGATTCAAGGGGGTGACCTCACATATGCTTAAGTAATTAGAGTAGACGATAGTTTAAGTTACGAAATTAGGTCACAATAACGTATTTTCTCTGAAAAAATATACCTTTTTCCCCCGACGAACTCAGATTTCTGACCCCCGAAATATAGGGGGGAGCCACTATCTGTAAAATATGTTCCGAATTGTTTGGTCAGGAGAGCGATCCAAAGTTTGGACCCCTTAACGTTAATTTTATTTTATTGCGTTTTTCGCTATATGTAAAGAACTTTCTAAGAGAATTAAAAAATTTTTTTGCATACTATTATAAAACTAGCTTATCCTAAGATAATTCCATGCAAAATATAACAAACATGCAATATATTAAAAAATAACTTAATTATTAAATTACGAATTCGTTTATTCACTTAATTAATATTTGTGAACTAATTATTTCCGTTATTAAAACTAATCCCCTTAGTCCACTTCCAGATTAAGGTCGATGTTTTCCACATATTTATATATAATACTTTTTAAACTAAATGAACATAATAATAATACACTAAACTATTTGACAGTAATAACTTTTAAAGAGCTATTTTCTAACTAAGAATAAATAAAACAAAAAAAATATATAATTTTTTAAATTGAAAAAACACAACAAATAAAATTAATTATTTACCTCTTCATTGTATCTGGCTATGTGTTTCTTAATAGCTGATCTATCAACCCATGTAATGAAATCTTCCATATTCCTAGTAACTAAGAAAGAAGGATCCATCACAACATTTGGACCTATACGAACATCTGGGTAAAAATGTTAAGAAAAAATTACAACACTTCTTAGTCAGGTCTTAGGTTCGTAATTTTAATATTGAATTTATTAAAAAATAATTTAATCGTCACTCGAATATATCGAAAGATATATACTATTAAAAACATTATATCTTAACTTTTTTAAAAATAAAATACAGGGTATCTGCTACAATTTCGATTTTGAAATTCATGGCTTTCCATGACTAATTCCAAGAATTTTTCATGACTTAACGAAGTTACTATTTTCTCTGACAAGAACACAACAATAAATTAAACAAAGCATTATAATAACATTAATTGAAATGATAGGTATAACCGAAACTGTTATACGCTGCATCTTCATATTTATAGATTTTAAATTTAAAAAACAGAGTAAAGAAAGAGTTGAAGCAACAAAATAGCAGGAAAAAAATACAAAAGCAAAAATTTTTTTTTCTTCTCCTTTTCTGCAGAATTATATTCTAATGATAATTTTCTAGTTCATCGGAAAGGAAAAAAATACACCTGATTTTTTTTGTTACCATTACAGAATTTAAAAAAAAAATCGCCAATGACTAGCTTGCTTCAGCTAGAAATTTAAATTGATAAAATAAAAATAAAAAAATAATAAAAAAAAATTCTAAAATCACAGAAGTTTAATTCGCTCTAGAAATTATGTTTTTTCTTTCATTTTTTGAAAGAACACCATAATTTTTAAAGAACATGATAAAAACATTTTATACATTAATAAAATATGACTATGAGTGAGGATTTTGTTACAATTCATATACTCGGAACACCATGAAAATTGGGGAGGGGGGGGGGNATGAAAATTGGGGGGGGGGGGGGGTAAATTCCATTACAAAAATTAGATTTTTCGGCGACCAAAAATCATGACTTTCCAGGTGCGCAGATACCCTAAAACGAGGATTCAGTTACATCAAATGTAAGAATAAACAAATAGTTTTGATTTAAAAAGAAAAAAAAAAAGAAAGAAAAAAGAAAACAGATAATTCCAAGGTGTAATAGATATTCAAGAAAATATTACAAAGTTTTAAAAAAGAAATTTATCCTTACTCCCTAGTTGGATCAGGACCTCTAAAATAAAAATTAATAATCTTTAATCTTAGAGATTAGAGTACATAGTAAAATTTTATTAAATACTATAAACAACTGCTTATAAGAGATTCGGTTATTTAAATCAGCTTATTAATTCAATATTTTTTTAAAATCATTAAATTAAATCAAAAACCTTTTTTATTGATTTAATTAAAATAATTTTTATTATCATTATCAATCCTTTGCGTGATACATTAAGACTTGCGAAGAGATATTTCTTAAAATCTTGTGATGTTTTGGATTTTTCAAAACGGAAATAAAAATCACTGAATGCAGTTTTTTCACCCTATGTTTTTATTGTTAAAAAAATAGTTATAGGATTTTTTTTCCAAAAATAATGAAGATAAAAATAAGAAAGTAACTCAAATGCTAGGAATTACAATCTTTCATTTCCAAATCTAATTTTTAAAACCATATTTTATTTTAATAATTTCAAATGTATCTCTAGATTTTTACATCAAGACAATATTAAAAGGAAGTTATTCTAATATGGCAAGAAAAACAACTGTGAAAAGATTAATTTCAATTGCTTCTTCCTTAGATTATTATTTTTAATGAAATTGGTAAATTATGATAAAAAGATTTTTTTTTTATCTAACTGCAGTTAAAGTTAATACCTTCTTATATAAAACAGCACAACTTTTTTGTAGTAATCAGAGACTAATATAGGGGATGCCTTTATATCTATGGTAGTAACTGACATAAAAAAATATTTTTGAAATTAAATTTGTGTTTTGTTTGCTTTAATCCGCTTTTCAATTGATAATGATATTCGCTTTTATTTTCATCGTACTTGTAACCTGCAATTGCATTACTATAAAACATTTATTATACATGGCTGTAAAACATATTTGAAATTAGTTTTGGTCGAAAAGTTTCAGGATTTTTCGACCAAAATACTATTTAAAAAAAAATCTACTAATATTATCACGTGTAAAAAAGAAAACATTTTTAATATAAATTTCGATCGGAAAATGAATTTTCTTCAGTTATTTTCACATAACCGAGATTTCGTTGGGAAACATTTGTGTAGCTAGCACAATTATTTATTACACCTAGTTTGGGTGTGGGAATTTCTAATTTGAAATTAGTTTTGGTCGAAAAGTTTCAGGTTTTTTCCAAAGTGATATTTTGAGCTTAATTTATTTCTTTGTCAGAATGTACAAGTTTATAAAGAACGTATAAATTTATACACACAAATATGTCTGCTTCTTTGAAAATAACACTTGAGACAAAAAATATGTGATCTTCATAAACTGAAACGTATTATCTAAAACAGGGCTTTCCAACTTACATGAGGCCGGGGGGCCACAATTAAAAAATACAAATCAAATGGCGGGCCGCAACTTTATCAAAATTTTATGTAGGACTCTTTTATGTTTGAAGGAACATTAAATATTACTGTCAGATTTTTACCAAGTTGCACAAAACAAAAGTATTGAATTACAAATTAAAATAAGAAGTAGATTTTTAAAAATATTTAATTGCATATTAAAAAATTCGGGCTACAATAACTCTTATGTGCACCCATGTATTAAACAATTAATGTGCAACAGATATCTAACTGTTAAGATATAAAACTTTAAAAAGGTTGGTATTAAAACTTACATAGTAGCACACAAAACATTCAATGACAAAATTGAGGTTTGTTAGCTGCAGCCACCAGAGAATAGATATTTAGATTTCAAATTTACAAATGTGTGTGTAAATATTTTCGTCCAAAATCAGTGGTTTCAAAAACTTAAATCTGAGAATTTCTTCGAGAAAATTTCTGATACACACATGCTAAATTATATTCACAAAAAAAAAAAAAAAAAAAAAAAAAAAAAAAAAAAAAAAATAAAAAAGAGCAACATACACGATTATTATTTTTGTATTTGAATAAATATTTTCTTGGGTGCAAAACCTGAGAAACCTTTTTTTGCACCGTTGGTATGTTAAATTTCACAGAAACGAAGAAATTAGGTTTTAAACAAAAGAAAAGTATTTTAAACCCATATAGATTTTTTACGAAAATTGTCCGAAAAAAAAAAAACGAACACTAATATATTTTGTTCACGGGCTATAAAAAAAGGATAAGCGGGCCGCATGCGGCCCGCCAGTTGGTAACCACTGATCTAAAAACTGTAGCTTGTAGTGAGAAACCGAATGCTGATTTGAAAGCAGTGATATAATTAGCTCACGTCTCATACAAATGAAAAAGAAAAGGTAAGCAATATCCAAAATTTTTGAATACAGACAAGAAACAATATTAAGTTTCTGAATGTGATTACGAATATATATCTTTTTTAAGGATACGGCCTTGCTCAATGAATTTATGAGATATCTTCAATGATGGGGCCATCTTGCTTCTAACCATAAGGACAGGTAATCTTCTTCTATTAAAATAAATGAATGGAAAAAAAATTAAAATTTATAAAGCAAACAAAGTTTAGGATAGATACTTAAATAAAGTAAGGAAATCCAAACTACCTGCAAAATGATGAAGCTGTGACTTTATCACACAATTCCAAGCCTTCATTTTTTCCAATCAAACCCATAGAATATCTGTTTAGAAAAGATAACAAAATAAGAATTTGTTAAATATTTTGCATTTTTTTTTAAAACAAAATTCTAAATTGTAATATTTAGCTAAATCTCAACTAGATGGCAGCAGCAGACATAAAAGAAAAGCCTCCAAGAAATTTATCGCTTGTTTCGTCAATAAAGTTGATTTGCTTCATGGTTTGTTTACTTTGAGACGAAATAATCATCATTGAAAAAGACTTCAATTATTTCGTTATTTTAGCAAACCTGCACCGAACTTGATTTTCACATTAAAAAATAAATAAAACATTGCTATAATAGTAATATTAAATCGACAACGTTAATTATAATTAGATCAGTTACGAAAAAGGTTTTTAAATTTTATTTTAATATTCTAATTTTAACTCTTTATTTAATGGATGTTAATAAGTTCATGTTAATAAATATTTTAACAAGTGGGAATTATTATTTCAAATAAGTTATTAAAAACAATAATTACCACATGATAGAATATTTATTAACATGAACCCATAAGCTAGCATGAATTAAAGAGTCGAAAGTAGTGACAAAATAAAATTTTGAGACCTTTTTTGCAACTGAATATTAAAAAAAAAAATTCAAGTGCAAACAGTTTAATAAATTTAATTCCATAGGAAGATTACCAAAAATTTCTTATGCTACATGTAAAAAAATCTCATACTCAAAATCAATAAAAGAAGAAAATCTAGATAAGCACAAAAAATAAATTGCATTTTGTATTTAAAGGAGATATTTTATATTAATAATTTAAAAATTATTTTTATTAAACATCACTTTTTATGAAAGAGATTATAATTAAAGCTAAAATACTTTTCGAAAATCAAGATAAATAAATTACAGAGCTTTTTTTTTTTATCATCACATCACAATCATATAAAAAAGTGTAAAACTAAATTGAAAATCGAGTCCGCATTTTAAAAATATGTCTTGGGCAAGAGCTTAATATAATAAAGTTTCTAAGTGCCCTATCCATATTCAATCAAAATGCGTCCCATCATATGCAGTAAATACTATAATATACAAGGTATTATTATTTTAAATTTGAAAACATTATTCTTAACTCAAAGAATCTCGTCTCTGCCTTATTTAATAAAAGGAATTCCCAGTACAATATGACGTGATACGTTGAGAAAAATGTAAGAAAGCATCAAAAATATATTCCTTGTCATATGACTCAGTTCATTCTATAGTTCAACAAAGAAGTAAAATAGTAAAAACATCAAAACTAATTAAAATTTGAAAAAAAAAATCATAAATCTTAATAAAAGAAAACACGTCATTGCACAAATTGGTAAAAAGAAACTAATCGTCGCCACTTCTTTACGAGCGAAATGAAAATGATTTTCAATGTTGCTATTTACAAAATTCGCAGGCGAAGAAACATGAGTTCAGTAGAATCGTTTTCCATTTTTCTTCCCAATTTAGCTGCCATCTTGATTGTCCCAAAACTTATTACATCATCAAGGCCAATTATGTGCTCGAAACGAAAAATGTCAAGGCGGCAGTCGCAGTTAAATCATCTTCTTCAGACTTCCACGAACGACAGTTACGAAAATGTATAATTCATAAACGCGGAAAATGAAAATTAAATGGGCGACAACTTAGGAACTCGATAATGATACAAAATATAGATTGGCCGCGTTCATCAGGGACGTAAAAAAAATAATAAAGTATCTATGGAGAAAAAAAGTCAGTACCTGAGATTCGGATTAAAACAGAATTTATGGGTTTAATTTGGGATTAATATATACAGGACGACAAATAAATCGAACTAGACCACCAAAGGGGCCGCTCTAAAATTTCGTTCCTCGAACAAGTAATAAAATAATAAAAAATGAGGAGGGGGGTCCTCAGGAATTTCACGTAAAATGACATTTTCTAAGTCAAGCTTGAGCCCCCCCCCCCCTCGAGAATAGAAAAAAAAAAGGCGAAATGCCGCTTGAACTAAGTTAATGTCGCTTTTTATTTATCTATTTAAAATTTTTATATACAGTAGCTTAAGCTACATTAATAAATACTTAAAGATAGTTCTAGACTTTCTAAGAAAAACGATCAAAATTAAACCAAATCGCAAATAATTAATTTAATGGAGCTCAGATATTTTTTCCCTTTTTTGTATCATGTAATTAGTAATTTCAGATTAGAATGATCTTTTTCTTACTTCAACCTACTTTAAATTTAAACGAAGAATTACAATTGCAATTCTAAAGGTCTCATTAAAAATTATTTCGAGTTGTAAAACTTGACATAAACTACAACAGTCAGTAAGTAGTTAATTAAAAATCTTAAGAATCCATGTTCTACAAAATAAAAGCAAGAATTTGCCTTAAAATTTAAAAATACCATAAAACACTAAGGCACGAACGTTATGCACCATGTGCCAATTCAAGAGGGAAATTTCAAGCAGGGCCCATATCACCATTTATGATTATAAAATAGTAATACTACACGAAAATTTCTACACATGTGCCGCCGCGATTCAGAAAAAAAATTAACTCATGCTAGACTTACAATTAAGAAATAATCATAAATTTAAAAAAAAAAAATTAATTTCGTGCGCAACATCAAATAACCCACAATTTAAGGCTGAAATTTGAATTTAGGTAAAGACGCGGAAAATAAACGCCACTATACAGGATATAAGGATCTCGCCATTACAGCCAAAATTTGAATTTAAGCGGGTAATTGAAGACACCAGTTACCTCTGTGGCCTGAATGACTTTTTCAAAACAGACACTAATGTCAAAGACTGTGACACTCCACAAGGTTTTAAAATTTATTTTTTGTTACAAAATATAAATACATACATATATTCAGCAAAATTATAATAAATGAGTAACTAACTAATCTTCAAACGTATTTAACTTCCCTGCTAAAATAATTTGAAACATCTGCCCTGCATTCCTCCTTCAAATTTTGAACAGATATTCATGAAGGTAAATTAAATTAAATATACCGCCACATTCAATTAACTGAGTATTAATTTGATGCCTATAATCACGAGCTGGGTCAACTTTTACTGAATATTCACAGGTCACGATCTTCCAATATATAGGTCGATTCCAGTTGGCTCATCATATTCTACACCATGATCAACCATAACCTCCCTCCGCATTACCGTAATAATAAGAGCGTTAAAAAAAAAAATTTCGATCGGCATCGAAAACCAGCAGCCATCAATAACACAATAGCCAAAATATACATAAACTCGGTCGAGGTCTCAGACAATAAGATGCTGTTCCATCCATCAGAAGCAGGAAGAAAGTCCTGTCCGGTAGTCGAGTCCAAAAAAGAAAACGTGATGGTTGAAAAATTACGCAAAATGCCAGTAATTAATGGCCGATCTACGTGATCGAAGTATCGGAACTTCATCGGGATCCAGTCACGATTTGCACAACAAAAGAATCGAATTAACAATTAGTCGAGAAATGGAATTCAAGTATGAAAATCAAGCTTTTTCCCAACCTTGATCGATTCGTGTTTTGACTACAATAACGGGGTCTTAGGGATCGGGCCATAAGGAGCGAATGGTTAAACAAGAATCACGTGTAAACAGGCTTGTGACACAGACCAGAATGTTCCATAATCGCGTATGTATATGCATGATGGTTAAATCCATGGAAATTAAATGTTAATAACTCAGGATATATTCATAAATAGCAAAGTTAATAATTAGTTGTATAAAGAATTTACTGATGAGCATTGGAAAATTATATAGGAAGTTATCGGACAATGATGGACTTTCCTGGCGATTTTATACTTAAACTTCTGAAAACAATAATTAGACCAAAGGACAATAGTCTGACCTATTGTTTTCGGGTTAACTTAGTAAAATATTTAGGTCCTTCAATAAACCAAAAACCATTAAGGAGTCATGAAATAAAATTTTTAAGAGCATGAGAAAATAGGCATACTATAATTAAATTTACATTTTTATGCAGATGTTTTTCATAATTATAAACAAAATTTTTAAGAAATTCAGTTTCTTATATTGAAAAGTGCCATATAAATTGAAGAATTTAGTGGAAGAAAGTTTTAAGTGATATTTTCGTGAATTTTTGAAATGAACTGTTTGAAAAAACACATTATAAACGCAAGTAGATTTTAATGGTACAAGATTCAGAACCAGATGTACTCTACCAAACTAACAATATTATAAATGTAAGGGAAGGAAATTAAATGATGTTATAAACTAAGTGTGATGCAAAAATAAAAAGGAGAAAAAGGGAACATATGATATAAGGAAAGATTACAAGCGTATCACGAGCCAGCGTAATAGGATCCGTATTTATATATTAAAAAGTTAACTGTCTTCAGTTAGTATTTCCAGAGCTTTGGATATAAATCATGAATAATTTTAATCTTATCAGCGTTTATAAACAACCCATTCCTTATAAGTGGATTTCTGGGGTTCTGATATCTTTTTCAAAAAAATTTTGTATGATCATTTTTATACAATTTAGTTTGAAAATTTTATATTCTCTACAACACTGGCGTTTAATTTCGCAAATGAAGGAATCACTTTTTCATTTATAGGCTAATTCGAATGACTTAGAGCTTGAAGAGCTGTTATTTGACAGAAAGCATGTTGAAAAGAAGCATGCTGACCACAGTGCTGACGTAAAAATATGCTCACTAATAGACGAATCATGGGTTAGAGTTCCCTTACCGTCAGGCTAACCCTTGGAGGTTTTCTCTCCATGTCACTCAAATGCGGGTCAGTTGCATCAAAAAGCCCTTCACGAAGGCCAATTTCTCCCAATACTTGATCCAGAGCCGCGATGGCTCAGGGGATAGAGCGTTCGCCTTCCAATGAGGCGAACCGGGTTCGAATCCCAGTCGATACGAATTCCGCATCCGGCTTGCACCGACCACAGTGCTGACGTGAAATATCCTCAGTGGTAGACGGATCATGGGTTAAAGTTCCCTTGCCGCCAGGCTAACCGTGGGAGGTTCTCGTGGTCATCCTCTCGGTGTAACGC